GTCATATAAAAACATGGTGTTATGAATATAGTTGTTTGTATTGTTTTAAAGTGTATTGGAGTATTCAGGTAATATATCCCCAGATACTTCCCTTGCTATATTTATAAAGAAGTTGTTAAAATCGTTAGCTTTTAGAGTTGATTCAATTGGTTCTTTGGATTTTTTTATTTCAGAATTTATAATGTTCCAAACTGCTTTGTTTTATTATCTGAGTTACAAATGTAGTTTAAGTTTTTTTCTCTATTTTTTTCTTCCAGGCATATTTTATATTTCTCTTTTAGCTTTTTATATAATAGTTCAGAATCCAAGTCTTTTTTTACCATAGCTATAGTATGGGCAGCATCTAGCATATTTTTTAAAGAGCAAAATTCAATATCATTTTTATTGGATTTATTTAAATTAATTTTTTTTTCAGGAAAACATTTTGCAAACCAGTCCATTAATACTTCGTGAAAGCAATTATAGGCTTCTTCGGCTGTTGGCTTTATTACAACATTCATCCAGTTTGTGTTTTTTAAGCAGGATTTGTAAATGTGTGTATTTTTTCCTGTTATATGTCTAACATTAGTAAATTTGTTTTTTCCAGTGAAATAACTCAATTTTATGAATAATTTTTGAGCTAGGTGGTCTGAAAAGTGTGTGTTGATAGTTTTAGTATTTGTTATGTCATGTAAATTTTCCAGAAATATATTGTCTATGCATGTTTCACTATTTTTTGTAACTCTTGAGGGTTCAATAAAAGTAGGATTGAGATTCCCAGTTTTTTAAATATTCTTTAGATTTTTGCAATAAGTTGATTCTTTTGTAAAATCCACATTAAAATCTCCCATTATAATTATTTTAGCGTTATAAGTAACCACATCGTTTAAAATAAGATCTGTGGAGGCCTATAAACACCCAATACAATAATATTCATATTCTTTATGTGAACACCATAAAATTCTGCCTCCTTTTCAATTGAATATTTAGCTATACTTTCTAATGTTGTAAATTTGTGGTTTATTGACAAGTAGCAGGCTTCCTCCTCGTATAAAAGTTTTTCTGCAATAGGACCCTCCCACCGAAAATCCATCACTAGTAAAATGTACAATTTCGTTGTCACCAAGCCAGTGTTCAGTGATGCAGGCGATATCACATTCTTCATTGGTTAATAGGTATGTTAATCTTATTTGCTTTAATTTTGCTATGTAGACATTTGTGGTAGGTGATTTACAGTTCGGATTCTTTTTGTCTTCGAAATATAAGTACATAGCAATCGATTATCCAAAAAAAATGGCAATGGTAAAAACATTAGGTATAAAAAATAAAACATTTTCTTTTTTTTATTAATCTTAAATCTGCGAGATCTCGTAAAATACTGAGATCTTGCGAGATTAAACCTCTTAAATCTTGCTATACCAGGATTGTACATTTTCCTTCAAGATTGCATTCCCTAATGGACAACCAATTTTGCTTCAAGATTTTTTTCACTTACGAAAATACATTTTTGGGTACCCAAAACAACACTTAATTTAAAAATATAGGAAATATTCCCAATCAGCTGGTTTTTGATAAAATATGGTAAAATCTTAAAAAAAAAGTCAATATATGCAACTATTTAATTTTATAAAATCCGAAATCTAATTATGATATTTGACATTGCTCGATATTGATTTCAATTAATAATTACTTTTATACATGAATCGATATTTCATTAAACACTGACAATTTTTAGTTCGCATCCATTTAATTACATTTGAGCTTAGTCCCTGACGTGTACTTTGCTAGTTGAAGTATTTACATTTCACGGTAGGTCGTATTCATAGAACAGTTAAGCGGAGCTCAGACGGATTAATTCAATTTTTGCGGCAATAAATTTAATTTCTACTGTGTTAAAAATTTTGTTTAATTTAATTTTCTATTCCAACATTTGAAACGCCCATTATCATAAATGTTTCCATGACACTAAGTGATTTTTAAAGTACAATACACTGAAAGAAATTTGTTGCTAAAAGTAAATACAAATTTATACTAAAAATTTTATACTAGTGCTTTACACATTTATACTACTGTTTATTATGAATGTATGTTAAATTTTGTAATACATTTATTGTAAAGAAGATATGTTAGATCTAAATAAAAATAAACTTACCCTTACTATAAAATGTAAACTATAAGTGAATTACAGCAAAAAAATATTGCTAGAAACACCATTTATATTGCTAGGGCAGCAATAGGCTGCTAACCAAACGAATATATTTGTTTTAGCAATGTATGTGGTAGTCCATATATGAAACATAAAATATATTTGCCCTAATTATTTTTTTATTTAACTTTAGTATATATTTCTTTCAGTGTACATACAAGTTGTGACTATGGCGTTTTAGTCACGGATTAAAGTTAGATTTAAGTTAGTTGACAGTTAACAAATATCATAGAATCGTCAAAATGAACTCCAATGAAATAATAGTAAATGTGAAAATTATTTTATCATCATAATACAAAAATACAAAATTATTAAACATTTTCTTTACGCCAATTTTATATTTCATATAAATGCACTTTTGTACTGATAAAGCATTCAAAATTGTGGGTAGATTACCCATAATTAATTTTCAATGTAAAAACTGCTTTTATATCGGATTTAAACGGTGGTTAGTCCATTTTAAGTAATAAAGTTCGATATTTATTTAAAAAATTGACAACTAACACGGCCATTTTGAAAGCCGTTTAAACAGATTTAAAGGTTACTCTATTTTTGTATTGATGTCGCTGTATACAAATCTTTAAATTAATTAAGAATACATTATTTTTTATGCCTAATAATATTTGTCGTAGAAAAAGTATAGTTTTGAAATCTTTTATAAACTTTTATAGACACTCATTTTATTAAACACTTTCTCGCAAGCTTACTAGTGACTAAAAGTTGGCAACAGTGGCTTTTGAGAATTTTAGTCACGGGCTGAACTTAGCTTTATTATAAATTGGGGAAAAGTAAGGTTAAATTCTTTGCCAGTTAAAATTTTTAACAAATAAATTTGGCTTTAAATTCTTCTTTGTGTTTGTCTTACATAAATAATAGTATGCAACTCGTTTTACAAACTTTTTTAGAAATTTATTTTTATTAAACACCTGTCACAAGCTTCTCTCGTGTCTATTAAAACTAAAATGGCGTTTATAAAACTTGATTCAAAATACGCTAAAGAAGCATCGTTAGTAGCGCCTTTATTATTGTAACCAAACTACAACTCTTAATAATCAGCTGTCAAACGCGTATTATTTTGAAAATAAGGCCGCAAACTATCGAGAAAAAAAAAGTTGAACGAATTTTTTTTTCGTGGGAAAATCCTGGGTTAAGTTTTTACCGGTTTCCCAATAAACACTGGAAATACGAATAAATAAATAAATTGCACACAGTCATTGTAAATATAAATTGTACCTATTAGATACAATAAATACAAATTTTAGTAATGATTTACATACGTGAAATTGTAAACATTTCAATTCAATAAAAATCAAAACAAATAAGTTGTCTAAATTGATTGAGAAAGTCCTTACTCAACAGTAAAAAAACAAAAACAGGTATTATTTTATGTATTATATATAATATTATATTGCCATGAATTCGTAGATATAATTTGTAGTTTACTATTTTAAAATGCAGGTGTCGGCGTTTTTTAGGGGACTTAAATATAAAAATGTTTGATTTTAAGGTTATGTTTGTACAACTATTTTTTTTGTTAGATTTCTTTAAAATGTCCAAACTTAAATATAAATTATATTTGGTAAAGATATCAGTAGTTAATTCTGCACCAACAAATATACGCTCCGAATTTACAATTAAAAACACAATAATTCACCAAGATCACTTAGATAAAATACAAACACTAACGTAACTATAAGCGTTAAGTTTCTAAATCAATGATATAAGGAATAATAAATCGAAATCGAGTACTAAACCAACGCGAAACACAAATAACGTGCGCGATTTTCTGTGCAATTAAAACTTTGCCAACAAAATTTGTGAAAAACTACTTTAAGTAAATAATATTTATTTAAAAATAAAGTGTAGTTCGTATGCTTTAAATGTATTGTTAACAAAGCTTGTAGTTCAATAATGCCAGTGGCATTATGCCACCATATGGCGCGCGCGTTGCGAAAACCCGATGCTTCCTTAGCATATATACTTTTTTATATTAAGATTATAAATCTGCATAAATATTAACATTCTATTTTATTTAAAATTTTGTCAATTTGTTGAAGTTTTACAAGAATCAAGTCCTAAATACATTAACAATAATTGTGTAGTTTCTTATTGATGTTTCAATTAATGTGTGCTTGTAGGAAAAAATAAATAAAAGTGCAAATTTTAATTAATACTTATTTATAATGAAACAAAATAATTTGAAATTAAAACATAAATTTAAAAGGCCCCATTCAAGTTAAATTTGGCATTAGCTGTATTATTTTTCATCATCTATGTTTGACTTGTCGCCCTATTTTTTCTAAATAAATTTTAAAAATAAATATATGACGAGAAATAATTGATATTTTTTTCACAAACAGATCTTTGCCGTAAAAACAAATTTTATTAGATGACGATTTTTTTCGTTATCTCTCAAAATGCAGAGAAAGTCGAATTAACGTTGCGCTTGTTATGAAAAATAGTGTACATATCTCGTGGCGAAAGGCGGCGATTTCCCAAGAGTATGTTGCTACATTCACTTCGCTTGTGCAGCACCCAAGCAAATTAAATAGTAAGCCACAACAACAAGTTTGTCTAATAACATACCAGAAGCGGCAATAAGACAATCGTATTTGGTTTGGTTAATAATGTAATACCATTATTATAATTTGTCATTCCATGCATCAAGGATTTTCGGCTAGTCGTGTGCATTTAATCGCATTCGAGCTTAGTAGTGTCTGGAGTCCAGACTCTGGACCCGTCCCTAACGTGTACTTTCCCAAGCAAACTGTTTGCATTTTATTTAAGTGTTCGAATTTTAAAAGTGGTTACATACCCAACATTCCTACAGGAAATTGGTAGGGCGCCTGTAGAGGGTTTTCGATAACACTTTGCGTTACCACCCAAACGTAGTTTTCGCCGGTTAAATGTAAATCTCTCGCTGCTGTCAGGATGTCTATTGCTTCTTCGCGAGTACAGTAGAGGAGCATTACTCTGGCTTCGGAGTCCACAAGAGCCGCAAGGTCTCCTTTGTTGGCCACAAGGACTGCGTTTAGAATTGTAAATTTAAATCGATCCTGAAAAGAAATTGTATATTAGTCCTTAAGAAATAAAATTTATGGATATCATATTCTAAGGATTTTTAGCTGTTTTTTAGTCATGTATATAACAAGCAACAACAAAGTTCTTTATGTTATTTAGGAAAAAGGTCCATACCTTAAGGTGGTGGTTGTCAAATTTTCTTATGACGCCCCCTTTTTGATATCATGAAATGTTTACTCCCCCCTGATAATTTGGACAAGAACTTTACTGCAATAAAATGTATGTTCATTTATTCTTTGCGACCTAGATACCATGCGCGAACGCTACATTATGCTGTAATATGGTAAAACATTCTGACCGCGCCAATACCTAAATTGAAAAGTCAAATATTTTATATTTAATTTTTAGCAAAAATTAACTTTTTAAATTTTAATTAATCTGAATTTTTGATAAAAAATTTGGAAAGAAAATTTTTTCCGAGCTCTCACGTGCTCTCACGCAAGGGGGCATTACTTTACGCCCCCCCAGTTTTGGAACCACTGCCTTAACCCTAGATCACTCGCCAACGTTATCACTCGCGCCCCGGTCTTTTAGACCGATTCACGATTTTTGCAGTTTAAAAAAATATAAAGAGTTATGATATTTTTTTATTGTTTATTATAATAATATAATAACAATACAAAACTTTTAAAGCGTGAAAAAATATTATTTTTTAATAAAACAAAAAAAAAAGAAAAAAGTTTATTATTTAAAATTAAAATATTCTTTAAAAGTTTGAAACGGGGTGCGACGTATTGAAGGTTTTTAGGAATTGTCACGGAGCCATAAAATCCAGACATGCGCGTTTCGAATACTATGTAGAAAAATCCAAGAGGTCGGTCAAAAAGACCAGGACGCGAGTGATCTAGGGTTAAGGTATTCGAGGAAAAAAATCATTAATTTTATGTGCACCATGGTAAAAAGTAATGTACAAATCATGGCCATACGGCGGCCGACGGAATATAGCCCGCCGTTGTTCGTTGTATGGCGACGTGAGCCCGGAAATTTTTCGACGTCGGACCAATGTTGGATTGATGTCGAAAATTAATTATCGTTTGCCGACGTTGGAACGAGGTCGAAAATCGATTACCGTTTACGGACGTTTTACCGCTCGTTTTACCGACATCGGCCCAACGTTGGATTGATGTCGGAAATTGGAATCGTTTGCCGACGATTTGCCGTTTGATTTGCGAACTTCGCGACGTCCGCAAATCGACGCGTCGCGACGCGTCGGTACAACGTCGACCCGATGTAAAAATTCGATAATCGTTTGCTGTCTCGCAGCCGACGTAAGATTGTTTTTCTGGCTAGATTTGATGCACTACCTTGAATTTTAATAATACAAATTATATACCTATGTATAAAACACGTCGTCGAAAGCTTAATTAATTAATTGCCTCGCACACAAACTACTGCTTCGGCTAGCCTCTGGGTAGTGATATGTATGCTTGGCTATAATATTAGCTTTGTCGCCTTGTATATATATATATACTAACTAGGATTAACTAATTTATATACAATGTGTCCACGGATGGACTTAACTATACTTGTACAAATATTTATTTTAAATTTTTCGAAGAAAAGTCACTCCTCATAATTTCTTCTGCTTGTTATATAAATACCATTCACGATGAGAAACTTCTATTTTGTTATACAGGGTGCGCAAAAAAAAATACGATTGTAGATTTTGCAATATTAAAAATTTTTAAATATATTTTTTTAAGGTCTAATATGAAGAGCTTGTAAAGAGAAACCAAAAAGCCATATACAGTTTTTTAATGTGAGTTGTTGTTACTAAGATATTTGTTGTTAAAAATAAAATCAATTCAGGTCCTAACTTGAGTGGTTTTATTATTTTGTAGAAATTGACTGCTATCTCATTTTGTGATTATGACAGGTCTACAATGTCTACAATTATTTGTTAAAATTTGAAAACTAATATCTTAAATTTTCAATATCAAATATCTTGGTATCAAAAACTCATTTTTGCTCACCCTGTACAACAAAATGGATGTTTCTCAACGCGAATCGTATTTATATAACAAGCAAAATAAATTATGAAAAATGACTTTCCTCGAAAAATTGAAAATAAATATTTTTACAAGTATAGCTAAGCCCATCCGTGTATATATATATATATATATATATATATATATATATATATATATATATATAAATTAGTTAATCCTAGTTAGTTTATATAAAGAATAGAAAACAACGGGTTTTTTATCGTATAACAATTTTTATATTATAACACTCATAATCCTATAAAAAACTTCATATTTGTATGCACTTCAAAAGTCAAATTATTATACACCGCCGTACAATAATGAAAATACATTGATAGCAAGATGTTGTTCCATCACCTCTTGGATGGGTTTTAGCTACAGGCCGTACGATCTTGCAATGAATATTGTAGCAACAATTGTTGGAGTTCCAATGTTGGCCTAACGGAAAAGTCCTGAAATACTCTTTAAGAGAATCTCAAAGATAGGGACAAGTTTAATGCTAGGTGATGATTAACGCATATTAAACGCCTAAAAGGGTCAAAATCCATACATGTCAAAATCGGTATTTACTTAAGCCAGAGGGGTCTATAGCATAAAACATAAAGTGGGGGAATAACTTCCTCAAGAAGTAAAAAAAGGAATTTGAGTTACCACATACACGGAAATTTAAACATAACTTAACTTAAAGATGACAAACACAAATCTAGATATCTGTATACAAAATACTCATGAGCATGTCTTGCTCCACAAGTATGTCGACATCGGTGCCTCACCAATAAGGTGCGCAACGACAATAACAAGTCTCCGTTAAGACTTGACAATAATCACCAGTTAGATGCAAAAAGATAATAGTAAGTCACTAGTAAGTAGAGATTGGCAGATCGGATCTGAACCGGTTCAGTGAGTCGGATCTTTACAAAGATTTGACAGACCCAACTCCCAAAATAAAAATTAACAGATCGCGAATCCGGCGAATCTTCATTTTTTGACAGTTGAATTTTGTGGTATTTGGTATTCGCAGTTCACAGTGAATCAGAAGTTCTGATTCAGAACGAGTGATAGCCGTTGACCGACCGAGCGCTAATGTAAATATGATCGATATGGATGTGAACGATCTAGTCGAGACCGATCTCGGCGAGATCTGAGATTATTTATATTTTTGGATTGGATTTGTTCATTTGTAGTGACCCGCACATTTTGTTTAAATTTAACAATCACAAAAACCACCCAATCAACTTGTGTCGACTTCTATCAATAAAAGGAAAAAACACATTGTTGAGGCATGGGTCAGTTCCGGTGGTTACATCTTAGTTAGATTATTTTATATTAATATTTATTATTATTAATCCATAATTATTATGGATTGTGTTTTTCTATATGTTGGGTTTATAGATTCTATAAGGTAAAATAATAAAATTGTAAAATACAAAATGAAACAAATGTTTATTCATTAAAATTAAAAAATTAGGTACAATAAATAAAATACAAAAAAAGACTAATCGACATGTAATTAACAATTATGAAATGAAAAAACACCTTGTTTAAAACGCCTGTAAGTATTAGGGTAGCATAAAGTCGATAAGGTAGTAGTTTAGCGCCATTACGTATGCAACCAAGATAAGGCTGAGGTGTACTACCACTGGCAACATAAGCCGACTGATCAGTGATCCGGATCATTATATTGAGCGGGATTCATTAACCCGATTCTCGAAAAAGACTCGGATTGCCCATCACTACTAGTAATACTTACTAATCGATACGGTACGATAATATTATAGAAAGGTCCAAAAAGCAAAAATTTTCAAATTGACCTACTCTATAATGAAATGAAACTTTTGTTAGCCATGAGTTATACCGATACGAGCAGTTCACGCTCCGATACTGAATAATTTAGAAACATGGTTAATATAAAAAATTACCAAAAACAACAAAAAGTATATACAACACGGCGGAGAAAGCATATTAACTGCCTCACTCAGACCTGCGAACACTGTGCTCGGCTTTAATTAAGCGCTTTCTCCACCTGTTAGATAATGTACAAATTAATGACGTTTTAGAAATAAAACATTAAAATTATTTATTTAATTATAATATTATATAATAAGTGATTTATAATTTTGATTTCTGACACAAACTGTGGGATAATACATCTGTCAACATTAGCTGCCTTATATAATTTGTTGCCATTACAACTGCTTTTAATTAAAAAAAAATAACTTTTTTAAAAATCAAAATAAACTATATCACAAGGTATTGTGTTATTGGAAAAATTCTGTAAAAACCGGTACCTATATTCCCAAATATATGGCCAAAAACATAAAATTAAATTTTTAAAAACCTACTTACATATTGGTTATTCCACCAAATAATTTTTTGTGGAGTTTTCGTAATGTACATTTAAATATTGACTCACTAAGTTGAGCTCTTAATATTAGGTACTTTCATAGAATTGATTTTTCGTTTTTTTAAGTAAAAAAATAATAAAGTTTTTTGAAGTTAAGTTTGTTAGAAAATTTTAAGTGTATAATGTGCGAAATTAGAGCCTAGGGCCACTACCTGTGCAGATAAAATCACGGTACCTGTCTCCCGAAGTCTTACAGAATCAGCAAAGCGCTACAGTAGTGCGGTGCAATACCAGAAAAACCAATACAGCCAAACAAAAAAAGAGAATTCCCACAGGACAGCAAAGGTAATTATTCGTAATTATAAATCGCTACAAAACATTCACAATATAGCACCAAAGCACTAAATAAACAGTCGCTATAAAACGCAATAGATGATCACATAAACAAAAAAGTTCAGTTGCCCAAACAACAATAAATAGACCAACACATCACTATAAAGGGCATTACTGAAAAAAAGATAAGGTTTCGCACAGTGGATCAATTTGCATATACTCTTATTAATCTACCTAGTAAATAACTACGTGCTTAAACGGTTGTATCTCCTTTGTAGTCATTACTTTCAATGAGCAGCTGAATCTTCCT